ATGCGTAACATTATTACGCTTTTTCATTTTACCATTTACAAATTTATTTATCAATCAATTTTCTTCGCTGATAGTTTGAAGTTTTTTGCAAAAGAACAGGATCTTGGGGACGGTTTCTGGCCCTATCTCTCGAATGGCTTGCTTGATGTTTGCTTAAAGGGCCTAAATCGTTAATGTATTATTCACATAACATCGGTCCTTCAAAGCCGCCCACAAAAAAAAAAAAAAAAAAAAAAAATCGAACGGCGCCAATTTGCTGCTCCCAGCTGGCCAATTGACATCGCCGATGCGACTGGTAATACGAGTACCGAACTTGGTGCGCAAAAGATCGATTGTGGCATGGGTTGTGTGGCATGGCGTGCCATCCTGCTGAAACCAATTGTCGTCCAAATCCATGACTTAAATTTCCGCCCAGCTACGATGATCCACAGTCACCATTTTTCCGTGTAAAAATATGTATATCTTGTCTTATAAAATTAAGACGAAATACTGTTTAATGAATTCAAAGAGATTTCAAATAAAATTGAAAATTAAAGACATAATTTTCCTGCTTATACAGTATTAGCATAGTGCTGTGAATAAAATCAATAAAAAGATTTTATAAAAAAATATTCGTCTTTTCGCCTTATATAATAAAAAATTTTATCAAAAATACGTACGTATTTTTTCCATCGCTTCTGGGTCAACTAATAACTGTCGAAAATTAAACGCTTATTAAGTCGAAATCTGTAACCAAATGCATACGACTGTGCAACATTAAATAAATCAAAAAGAATTGAAATCTTAAAAAAAAAAATTAGTAATATTCTTAGAACTAAATTCACACAGAACAAAAAGTAATATAGTAATTTTCTTCGTTTATCTATATATTAATTTTAATATTTATGTAATTAATAAAAAATGACTATAAAATTTTTTACCAAGAAAACTGCTTGTGGGTTTCACTTTTAAAAATCATTTGTTTTTTTATGTTTATTGTTTTCTACCAAACATAACTCACCCAACCACTCATAAGAACATAATTAACTATTTACATAAACGAATTAATCTTTTGGTTTGAGCAGATAGTAAGAACCTGCGTATTTGTTGTATTGCATATTGAATTGGAGGCGTAATTAAATGATTAGTAATTTAAAGGATATTTAAATACTGCTCAGATCAAATGCCGCATGCTTTGCTGTGTATATAAAAAAACTATCTAATATCGTATAAGCATTTGTATATAATTTTTCAACACGTTCCTAGCTTTAGTTCACAGTTCACAATAAGTAGCATAACGAATTCCTAAAGGTTATGAAAATACATTTTTTGTGCTTAAAATATTTATTTACTTCATACTATTGCATTTTCACGTGGCTATTTATGTGCGCTACTGAAAAAGTACCATATGTACAGTGTCGAGAGTAATAATAGGGAAGATACATTTTAATATTCTTTGGCTATTGCCTTTTCGTTTTTTTTTTTGTGTTTGTTATTGCAAGTTTGTCCTGCAAGTTAAAGTTGCAAACAATGTACCAAAATTAGGAAAATTCGACAAAGTTTCATGATTATTTTGAGCTTTTTAATTATATTTCTTACAGCCGGTTTCCCCAGCAATTTTAGTGGAACATGATTTTTTATTTTCGGTCCATTTGCATATAAAATTCAAAAAATTAAAATAATTTTTCACTTAAATTGCTCTCGTGAAATACTCGATAAAATTCTGTCAAAAAAATTTCAAATTTTGATGAACATTTGTTAACGTTTGTCAAATTTTTATAAATGTTCTACAAAGGTTGAAGCTTTGATTTACATGCTTTTTTTAGACAGTAAGCTATATTAAAAAAAAAAAAAATTATAAAAAATTTTTAACAAAAAAATATCCAAAGCTTGTTTAAATTGCTCTTCCCTATTCACCTCTTCATCACCGTAAATAACATGCATGCTTCACTAATCTCCTCCGACCACATATTTACTAACAAATCCATTATTCACTCTGAAACTTTTAAGCCTAGTTAGTTATTTTTTTATATATAAAATTCTTGCAAACATGTGTCAATATGTATGTGCATATGTATGTGCATATGTATGTTCATAATTTATGCACTTCTGCATGTGCAGTTTTCTATGCTGAGTTGCTACATTTCGTTCATCTGCTTTAAGGATAATGAAATCCATTTTAAGTTTGACATTTTCTCAATTCACTCTGTCTATCATCACTTACGTTTGTTTACTTTTTAAACTCGTCATTTTAATGGAAACTGATTCTGATACAAAATAAAATTAGGGCATTCAATCTGAGTTGCTTAGATAAATATTCATGCCGAGATTATTGTTTGTGTGTCTGCTATACGCACATGCCGAACAAATGTTTGTATTATATGTATATTATATTGCTGGTCAAAGTCAAAATATTGTCGAATTTTCGTTATAATTTTTTTTTTTTAATTTTTCAAACCCAGTAGCGATCCATAAAAATTTGTTTTAAGTATTGAAATTTTCGTGGTTTTCTTTATTTTGTGGGAAGAACATGATTTTGATATTTTTTAAGGACCACCCTAAGGCAAACTTAGGTACATAAGTTTTTTTTATAAAGATATTTTTTGATGTTTGTTCGCTGTTTAATGTCTTATTTAATTGCTGATACGCTATTTCATGACGATTGCACGGCTATCCGGGTTCTATGATAGCCAATCCTAACAGACTGGGAATTTTTTTCTTCCTACGTTTTACTTTGAATTTTCGGCCCCTGTCTTCCACAAATATCCAGCCGTCAGCACCATCTCCAATATTCCAACTATTGATATGCCTGGCACCATTTCCAATCTAAAATCATATGTATAGTACTTATTTACGGGTTTAATATAATAATAGCGGAATCTTTATGGCAAATGCCGCATAGATTAAAAGTTTTCTCTAGTCAAATAGTCAGTCGTTTGTTCTGGCGCATAAGTGCTCGCGCTTTCCATGGCAAGAACTGATTAATATCTTTTTCTGAACAACACAAAATATTTCTGAAAAAAAAAAACAAATATGTAATTCTGTACCATTTTTAAATACCGTCCGACTTGGCTCGAGCAGTTGCACAGTAGCCAAAGGACACTTTCTTATCTTCAAAAAAGTTGATTGCTTTTTAGTTTTGGAGCTCAAATGCATAGACCCATGATTTGTTATTGCCTTATTTGGTGCAACATAAACATATTTTATCAACATTTTTTTGCATCCATTTGATGCATGTCTCTTTTGAGCCCGATTTTACGAATATCAGACATCCAAAAAAAGTTGCGGGTTCTCCGCCCAATTTAAAATATGTGTTATATTTGAAGACGTCCACCAAAATATTTCGCAAAAATATTAAGATTTACGTGAGCTGGACCGATTTGAAAATACCCCCATAAATGGAGTTTTTATAAATAAAAAAAAAAAAATAGTTTCTTCAAAAACTTTTTGAAAAAAATCCCCTCAGATGACAAAACAGTTTAAGTTTAAAAATCTGCATAAAAATATTTAAAAATCTTTTCAACGGAATCGTAATAATGAGATTTTTGATGCTGTTTTTTACTTTTTTTTCAAAGATTGATTTCTGTTGTATTCTGTTTTAGACTTATGGGGTCTCAGTAGAAAGAATCTCATCATTGCGATTCCGTTGAAAATTTGTTTATTTTTTTTTTTAGCATTTTTATGCAAATTTTTTAAGCTTCAACCTTCTTGTCATTTGACGGGATTTTTTTCAAAAAAAATCTTAAAGAAACTATTTTTATTCATAAAAAACTCCATTTATGGAGTTATTTTCAAATCGGTCCATCTCACGTATATCTTTATATTTTTCCGAAATATTTTGGAGGGCGTCTTAAAATGTAATGGATTTTATAATTCCAATGGAAACACAGTACCGATTTTTTTTTGTATGGGGAGTGATGCAGTCTAGTGTACATACTTGTGTCCTATAGTGGTCTTGTACTAACGACTAACTTCCATCATCTATGCTTTCTGGTGCATCCAGCGAAAAACGCTGAAATGTGCGAAAGGAAATAGTGTTGCCGCATTTGGCAAAAGGAGATTTCGGCGGTTAGGAACTATTTTTGGAAAAGTCATTTTGATTTGCTGAAGAGTTTCATTATATTAGCCCCATTCTTTCTTGATTGAACATCGTACCAGAAAAAATAGTTTAAAACTATTTTCGGCACCTTTGAAGAACAGCTCACCTCTCACTATTAAAACAAACATTTTTAGAAAAGACCCAATTAAATAAAAATCCTTCGGCCTAATAGCCTAGGCTGCGTTGGACGCAAGAAAATACAGTTAACCATATTTTCCTACTTTTTTGTTAGGTCGAATCATCATCAACATTATTTTGTAAGCTTTTTCGTTCTGTGTGCATCACTGCATTAAAGCAAACATTTCTGATACAATTATAAAAACATTTGCATCAAAATCACAATACTATATATATATATATATAAATGTATGTCAAAATCCTACCACAAATTTATCGTTTGTATGTGTGTATTATAATTAATTATGTATGTACGTGTGTTGTATCTACAGAATGTCCCTTATGCATATCTATTTGTATCTATATATGTATGTTTGTATTTGTGTATGTAAAGTATCTTAAGACATCATTATATCGACTATACAATAACACATTGCCACATATCCACAAACATTTTTGGAACAAACCAAAAACCTAAATTTTTAATCACTCAACTAAACAAAAAAATCATCAAAATTATTTAATTATAATTTTTTTATTTTATTGTGCAAGCCCACAAATGAGATTTATGAATGAAAATAATTTAAATAATTTAAACTTTTTTTCTGTTAAACCAAGCGAGAACTCGAAGTAAAAGTTTCGCAAATTGATTAAACGAAAATCACAAAAATATTAAAATTAATATATTTTTAATGTCAATCTAAAAAATAGGGAAAAAATAAACAAAACAAAATGAAAATATTCACTGCAAATTGCCAACAACAAACAAGCCAATCTACAACAATTATAATTCTCTGGTTTACAGTCGATTTCGTGAATGGCGACGCCAAGAGTCCCCAGCACACGGTGGTCCATCCAATGTACGTGAGCTACAGCAGCATACCGACCTCGGCAAGCGCTAGCGCCACATTGCTCTCAAACAAGCATCACAACAATCACCAAGCACTTAACAACAATAACAACCACCACCAAATTCATCCGCAACAACAGCAACTGCAACTGCAGCAGCAGCTCAGTCATCATCAGCAACCAAATAATTTTAACAGTAACACATTTCTAATACACACGAACAGCATCAGCAACAACAGCCATAGCCATAGCCGTAGTCATAGTCATAATCATAGTCAGAGTCAGAGTCAAAGCAACAATAGTCGCAGCCGCAGCCGCAGCCGCAGCAATAGCCAAAGTGGTGGGGTTGGTGGCGGTGGCATTGGCAATGGCGGCGGTGGCGCGGCGAGAAAGGGTCGTGGCGGCGGCGGTGGTGGCGGCGGGGGCGGCGATGGCAACTGCAACTCGCTCAGCGCAAGCAAAACGAGTACACTGACGCGCATTCTTTACAGCCCGAAGAGTAGCAATAAGATCGGCTCGTCTACGGGCAACACCATACTCCCCGTAGATATGTTGCAGCGGCAGCAATCGCTACCACAAACGCATACCGTGACGTCATTAGGCGGTGGCGGCGGGCAGCACTACTATGACGACAGCACTGCCAAAGCGGATCAGCTGTACACGAACAGCAATCGACGGCAATTCTTGAATGGTACGACATATCAGCAGCACCAACAGCAGCAGCAGCAACAACAAAATGCTGGCACACCAAACTCCTCAACGCACGACAACACCACATCGTCGCTCTCGTATGCTTCGCTGCAGAATTCCAATTTGAATTTGACACAGAGCTTGCGTGGCGGCCATGGTGGTGGTGGGTTTGGCTACACGGGCACGGTTGGTGGTGGCAATGGCATGTGTGCGGGTGTGGTGGGTTCTAGCTCGGGCGGTTTTGGTCGTGGCGGTGGCGGTGGCGGGGGCATGACCGCCGCCTCGTCGCAAGCCACGCTCAGTCCGCTTAGCAATAGCCAATTTAGTCTCAGCAATAGTATCAACAATAATTATAGCAACCATAGTGGCAGCACCGCCAACAACAACAACCACACCAATTACAGCAATGTCTTAAATAACCATACTAACTATGTAAATAACAATAACGGTAGCATGGGTAGCGGCGTTGGTGGCGGTCACTTCGCGCGCATTCACGCTAAACCCAAGCCGCCCAAGTCGACGAGCTACAGCAGCTTCATCAACAACGGCAGCGCGGCGAATCTCACTAATGGTGTCGGCATCGGCGTCGGTGGCGGCGGCAGCGGCTGCGGCAGCGCTGGGGGTTCCATGACCAATATCCATCGTCCAGACATCAAGTATACGCAAATGTCCAACGAGCGCCTGTCGCGCAACTTGGAGGAGGGTCTAGAGGACGACAATTTCTCGCTGCAGAATTTCAAAACCGATGACGGTATTACCTATGTACCCTTCCAGAAACCAACGCCAGGCGCACTCTTCGTCGGCCAGAATAACAATCCCTCGTATGTGTCGTTGAACTCATTTGGAGGCACGCAGATGTCGCCCAACAACAATGCTAGTCCAAATACGATTAACAACAATGCTTTACCGCAATTCACGCGCAGCATTTCTCAGTTGGCGCCACCACCACCGCCACCGCCACCGGCTCTCCAAGAAGGAGAGATACTTTTAGAGCGCGGCGCTGTACTACAACCCGCCTACAACTATCAGCCACATGCACAACAACAGCAAATGCTGTTGCAGTCACAGGCTGCACAAGGCGCGCAGCAACAGCAACAGCCACTAATGAATCCTGCCAATCGTTTTCTCTACCAACAAAACGGCCTACCATTCCATCCAGCCTACAATAAGCCCATTCCAGTGCCACTACCGGTGCCCACGCATACGTCGCCGCCCATGTCTGCGTCATATCATCACCACATGAGCCCAGTCGCCAAACAACCGCCACGCCCAACAAACATTCCATTACCCACCATTCCGCCACATTCATTCGACACGCCCATTTCACCCTCGGAGGTTACACCTCCACCACCTCCTGCGCCACGTCCACACATTTTCCAGCCACGTTCCGGCCATGCGCCCTACCCCGATCTCTCACCCGAGGTGACCGAGAAATATGCCATGCCCACACAGTACGTACCGCGCTCACCGGTCGCTTCGCGTATTGCGCGTCGTCAGCGCCAACAACAACAGACGTCGCATAATTATCACCACCAGCAGTCGGCGCTGCCGGCGACGCATCACGTGAATACGTCAGCAAACTTTTGCGATCAAGTGCGTGATGCGCCACCTGGCTATATAGTGGACGCAGGCTTCAGCATTGTGCGCGCAAAAAGCTATGACCGCCTGGCCTCGTCGTCGTCGGGTTCCGTGCGACGCGATGCGAAAGGCGAAGCACAGTCGAAGCAGGCGCAAGTCAATGCCGAAGCAGCGCCGCATGTAAATAGGCGCAGTGGTCGTCGTGATGCCGCCGCACGCGCGCGTCCACGATCATATTGCAATTCGATGTCTGGTGGTGAGGGCGTGATACGCGGTAGCTTGGTCTATGAGCGCGATTTCGTGGTCGAGAGTGGAGTTAATGGTGCTGATGGCGTTGGTGGTAGTGGCGCAGGTGAGGGAGGTGGACAGTTTGTTGGTGGTGATCAGTTGGCATAGGCAGAGGCTGGGAAAGTGAGTAGTACAGTATTGGAGGCACAAAAGCTGCGAACTACCAGCGATCGTACACGGTATTGAGGTAGAGTTTCGAAGAAGGGATTTACATGCGTAGTATTCGGGAATATAGTTGACAAAACCGCTTTGTAAAATGTACAGTGGTTGAGAAAAGCCAATGGATGCATTCTTTTTCGATAGGCTGAGAGCGTAATGAGGTCAGAAAAATAATTAGCGCACAGAGCTCGATAGACATGTTTTGCGATAAAACGATGTAGAAAGCGATAAAAGTAGGTGATATAGACTTTGCGAAGCTCTTAGAGCGGCGACTAACTTATAGAGCTTTTGCTCTTTTGATGCTCATATAAAATCAACAGAAATCTTTAAAGGCTCTGCCCGCGGTCTATGTTTTTGATCGAGTCCGCCTTAGAGCGGTGATGAAATTCTGAACTTTTTAAGCTTTCTATCTATTTTATATAAGCATGCACAGGCTAAAAGCCCTCTCTGCTCATTACAGCCTCAAGAGTTTTTAGTCGTCTTAAATTGGTCATGACAAATTTTAAGCGCTTCAGTAAAACCGTAAGGAGCTTACATAGGTTTAAAGGAGTTGTGAGCGCCGTGGTACAAAGGGTGGAATTTCAAAAGCTCTTTTAGTAGCATGAAAGCTGCTCAAGGAATAACAAAGTGCACAAATGCACTCGGGTAAGAAATTTAAAAAAAGGTCAAAAAGCAAGAGATTATTAGACCGATTTGTAGTGTAGTGATCGAAAGCAAAAATTTTAAAGCTATTTGTAGCTAAAAGCCGTAGAAGTGGTACTTTGTGAAGAAAAAGTTTTGCGCAAAGGACTTTTACTTTCCAAAACCGTTACCTATATATGGCACTTACAGCCTCTCCAAAGTCACCGAGAATCGCCAAGAAGTAGCTATCATCCCATTCAAAGCGGTTTCAGTTCATTTCTGTGTTTTATCTGCACCCACTTTCATTGCGCTTAAACTCACTTCATTCATTTATATTCATGCCCATGCCGCTGCATTGGTTTTGTTTAAAATTTTCTTGCTATTTTCTTTTAATTTCATTAATTTTAATTTCTTAGACTCATAGATTACGATTGCTGATTTGAATGCTCTCATTTGCGGAAAAGTGGTGGTTAAATGGTTGTTGAAGCTTCTTCTTTATCTAACTCACTCTCTCACGTAGCTGCTAAACTATGTGCGGCCTCTCAATCGAACATGAAAAATTTAATCATGCTCTCAAACATGCAAGCTCTCTACTAAATCGTTTATTTAACGCGCGCCAGCCCACTTCGTGTCACCGTGGCGCCGTCGCGCCGTTAAATGTTGCTTGCGCTGAAGTTGCTGTTGCTACTATCGACCAGGGCGATGTTGCTGCAATACATATATTGCTAAGTGAATATAAATTTGCCACAGCAAACGGCTTAAAAGATGTATGTAAATGTCAAGCGAATTCCTTGAAAAATTAAATATTAAGAAAACGTTAATCAATTTAATGGCATGCAAATGTTTGCAAAGAATGCAAGTGAAAAAATTTGAAATTCAATGTTGTGTACTAAAAATGTGTTAAAGAAAAACGGAAATGAAAAATGTTCCAAAATATTTGGTGTTGTTAGTTAGTTTGTGTATTAGAATTTATGTTCTTAACCTGCATACGAATACATACTTACAACACACACGTATACATACTTATACACTTGTTTGTATTGTAAATTGATGATGTAAATTATACTATATACATAAAATGTATTATTATTTAACGAACACACATACTTATTTAGTTATATGTATGTATGAATATCCTTGTACATAATATTGTTTTTTTTTTTTTAGTACAACATAAAATAACTTGTAATTCTTATAACAATACTGGTATGGGTATTCGATTTGTTTTGAACGAATTTGGAGTTTATACTATGAAGGTATAATAGAATTTGAATAGAAATCTCACAAAACTGGATACACAAATCACGATTAATAAGTAGCTTAGCTAAACACAAAATTAGTAGGGTTTGAGCGCATATGACGGTGCTGGCAACATGTATCGGGCGACGGCATGTTGCTAGCGCTGGCGTCGAGGAGAATATGTTGGTAGAGAAGGTGGTGGGCGTACGTGGCAATTAACAAATCACATGAGGGATTTATTGAGTTAAATCGAGAATGAGATTAATAAAGATCGGTGCAAAATATCGCGAAAGAGAGTGAAGTGAGATCAAGGTAATTAAAGAGAAAAGGGAAAATAAATACATGGCAAAGAAAAATGAGAACGTTGGGACCGAAGTGATAAGTAGAAGGAGAAAAATATACAGACAAAGACATGTTTACAACCTAAAGTACGGGCATAGAAAGAGACTCAGATACGGAATAAAAAAAAAAAACAAATAAAATAAAAATAAAAATACAGTTATCTAAAGAAACAGATATAACATGCAGGTTCAGACAAAAGATAAAGCTCAAATTTCATAAAGAGATGAAGATAACAAAAATGAAGAGATAATGACAAGCAGGTGCATCAGTATCAAAGAAACGATAACGATAAAGATAAGATTAAAGACAAAGAAATAAAGATTAAAAATTATAAAGAAATTAAAGGTACAATTAAAATTAAAGATTAAGCTGGAGATATAAAGATTAAAATAAAGATGTAAATATATAGACAAAGATGAACCTAAGGATAAAGCTGAACATAAAGAAAACGATAAACATAATAATAAAGACAAACACAAAAATAAAGACAAAGATACAGATACACACGCGCGTTCGGGTACAGTGAAAAGGTTAGGAACCAACATTATAGTGAAAGAAGGAAAGAAGAAAAGATTAATAACAACTAAAACTTTGCAATATATTTTTAATTTTGAATCGCTTTCATGAACATGAAACGCTGTCCATAAAATTGTGCATCGATATGATCAGAAGCTGATTAGATATAGCCATGTCCGTCTGTCTGTCTGCCCGTCTGATGGAAATCATCAAGGTGGGCCCACAATAAGTTATAGCTCCCATATATGTACATATATAGCTGATTGTTCATACTTGAGCTTTTGTGATACTTACAACGCCTACATTTAGGTAGTCAAATCATGAATTTTTGTGAACTATTCCACCTTACAATACCTTTTGGAAAAATATGAAGACGATCGGTCAGCTAAGGTCTTGCTTTAAAAAGCATTAGACGAAATGCAATTATCAGAACCATTCAATCGGCTCTTGTTTGAACTCTTATAGCATAAAACAAAGGGCAGGGAATATTTTGAAGTAGCTAAAAAGAAAGCTCAGTCCAAAAGATATTGAAATTCTATTACAATCACCTAAGCTTGGTTGTACCGGATACGATAATATAAAATTTTATTTATTTTTTGCATACATTTTTAAATTTGTCCTGTAAAAATTATGTTGGCTATGGTTAGTGAATCTACCTGTCCTTATAGATGGTGGTCCTTAAAAATATCTACATATAAATTTTCTATGGGGCACCCATTTTTTCTTCTACGTACAAAATAAAGACATCCATACAAAATTTCGAAATTAAAAAGAAAATAATAATAAAATATTTGGAGTCGTAACGAGGGTTTGAGAAAACTATATATATATACATATATATTTTTTTAAATCGCAAACATTCGACACAATTTTTACTTGATACTTTATAAATTTGACATATTATTTCAATTTATTCATACAAATTAAAAAATTTGCTAGGTTATAGTTGGCGAAAGTAAAAATTTTTTAAAATTTTTGCGATTTAAAAAATTAATATTTTTCAAAAACATTTTTTTTTGGTATTCAATGTTCGTGCATGTCTTTATTTTGTACGTTAAAAATAATCAAGGAGTACCCCATTGTATTGATATTATAAGGACCATGTTTCAGTTTCAGTAATTTATCATAAAATTTACACTTAAAAAATTAAAAGAAATTTGGTTCGAATGAAAATTTTCAATTGAACCTCATTCTTGACATAATTTCGATCTCTTTTAAAATATATATGCAAATAATTCCTCATATGATCTTCGGTCCTACAGTGGTAATAAATTTCGATCTCACTTTGAAATTAAAAAAAAAAAAACTTAAACACTGAAAACACGGAGCTGCCATTTTGAAACTTAGTTTTGCAAAGCGATATTTCTATAAAAATTTAATAAAAATTAAAAGGCCATATTGTTTTTTTTTTTAAGTAAAAAATTTTTATTTGTTATTTTTATTTTTAAACACGAGCATAAAATTCGATTCATTGAAAGCACTCGCCTTTTTGTAAAACTACTAAGGAGGACACTGATGTATGTAGTTATATAGCAACTGGAATAATAATAGAGATTGCCTTGTAGTCGCAGCGTATGTAGACTTGTGTGTATGTACTATTTAAAGAAGTAATTGTATAAATAAGTAAACAAATTATCAAAAAATATGCCGAGCCCTCTCATTCGATTGTCTTTCTATTTACGAGTAGAGCAAGCGAGATAGCGAGTAGAAATTTATTTTTTATTAAACTTTTCTGAGCGAATAACAAAAAGAAAGACAGAAAAAACTAAACGATGTTCTTTTAATTTCAACTGTGATATAGATACGAAAGTTGGAGTATATAGAAAAAAAAAACAAAACAAATATTGACGAAAATGAAAGCAACAAAATATTTAGGTAGTAAAAGTTATAGAAAGACGAAACGATGAAAAAAAGTTACAAATATTTTGCATAGAAGTATGTAGTAGAATTTGAAAGCGGCTAGTTAGTTTTGCCTACTTATGCTAGGTGCACACTTGGTAAACTAAGAAGAAAAACGAAATTTTTGAAAAAGAATTCGTGGAGTAAAGCTTTCGTAAAGTAAAAGGAGTAAAATAAATAAATTCACTGAAAGAAAATACCGCTTAAGCCAAGTGTGAATACAGCCTAATGCGTGTAGTATAAAATTTTAGAGCACGCAATGTAAGAAAGAAGCCTAAAGTGTAATAAATGAGAATCAAAATTTTATATTTACAAAATGCACACTGTGTATAGCTACTACCTACGTAAATATAAAAATAAAAAAGTAAAAAAAAAAAAAATATTTTTAAGTTAAATTTAACAGAGATTGGAATTTTTGATTAAAAGTATACATATTAATAAGTTGTAGTTGCCTTTTTGCATAACAATAACTGAAATTGCACGCAAGTAAAAAAATAAATGCGAAATTAAGTAAAATTAAGAGAAATTAAATATATACACTGAAAATAATTTAAGAAAAAAATTAAATTAAAATCAGACTTTGAAAAATTATTAGCTAACAAACTGTTTTGAACAACTACAAATCTTTCAAAACAATCGGCAAACTGCAAACATTTATTGGTGCGCAATTTCAGCACGCACACTCCCAATCTGACACACTGTAAATCGTTTAATTTAGCAGCTATGTATCACTTGGTAACCCTACTGTGAGTGGTATTCCTAAATAACTTTCAAAACTAAAATAATTGCAAAAAACACAAAGTTAAATGTATAAACAAAATAAATTCAACAAAAAAAAACTACTAAACAGCAAAAATAGAAATGAAGCAGTCTTGTACTCAACCAAAATTAACTTAAAACCGAAATAGGCGATAAATTTTTATATTTAAGCTTACCAAAAGACACACACATACACACTCAACTAGTTAAAAGAATTTTAAATTGCTAAACGTAAACTGAAAAACAAAAAAAAAACTGAACTTACCCTTACTATTAAATGTTGTTGTAAAACTCAAAGCAGGATGACTGCAGAAGTTCGAGTTTAAAATTTAAGAAATAAGTAAAAAGAAATTATTTGAAATAAACTGAGTATTAAAAGTACATAAATGCATACCAACAAACAAATGAATAAACTTACATAAGTAAATCAGAAGAACTAGTAAGAAATGATGTTTCAAATAAATGTTTTCCTTTTTTCAAAGTATACCGTAATTAAAGTTTACTGTGGTTTTTTGATTATTTTTATAGTACGTGGAAAAACATACAAGTACATAGTGTAAGCTTAGCTTTTGCCCTGGAACACTTTTGAAGTTTTCGAAATCTCAGATGGAGTTTGGGATTTATTAATTATAAACAACTAGTGCCGAGGGGTTTGGTTTTTAGTTTATTTCTTGGATATTTTCTTCCTTTAGAGCAGGCGCCTTTATGATTTCTAGACTAAACCGCAATAAAGCAGAAATCGCAGCTTTGAGTCGTGCTCGTGTGCTTTCAGTGAGAAGAGCGCCGCTCAGCTGTCGAAGTGTACATGAATGTGTTTGTTACTTTCCACACTTTCTAGATTTTATCTCAGACATAGTATGTAGTTGAATGGAGGGCACGTCAGCCTGAAAGGCAATGTTAGCTTGTCGCATGGAGCCTTCGCCTTGGGCAGTTATAATATTTAATAGATAGAGCAATATTTCCGCGATTTATGACGTTCCTTGTCTAAGTTATGAAACGGTATTACAAGGCCGATGCCGATTATCGATATAAAAAGGTACCAAATTTTGGAATGAATTTCTGACATTCCTTGTCAAATTTAGTTTGAAGTTAAACCGGATTTGGCATTGAATCATCTTTATTGTCAAAATTCGTGCCAAACTACATCATCTTCTCACCCTGTCGGAAGAATCAACCAATATCAGAAGCTATTAAAATGCTTTAGTTTAACCTGCTTGGAATTGACCACTACATACCGACAATCATACTGCTTGAGGAAGAACCCCTTTCTCTTCACTGTCACTATGTCAAATTTTTATTCTTTGGCTGATTGGCCAAGTAAGCCAAGCCCACCAAAGTTGCGCCGTCTTGGGTTATTTTTGTCTCAAGTCCCTCAAGGACCATACATCCGGCGCAGAATCCTTTTCAAGAACATTTCAGGACTTAAATCAGGACAGGCCTTATAAGAGACTTATAAACTGATCTGGGTGCCTTTTCAGTTCTCCAGCTCTTATTTTCTGCTCCAACATCAGCGATATCGAAACACAGGGCTGATGTGATAAGAAACATACTTCTGATCCCTTGCAATGCAAGGTGGCAGGAACCTTTTGGCCATCTCTTGGTAGGACTATGTCGCTTTGAAGCTAAACAAATCGCTACTCTCTTCATTGCTGGGGGTATTAACTGGTCATTGTCCGATTAGCATCCATTTGATGAGGTACCGAACACGCTGAGTGAGCGGTGATGGGATGGAATCGTCGCAACTTCAGCTACTCGCCAGCTTATATAAGCTAAAAGTTTAAAAACTAAAGGAGTTATTTGGATGCAATAGTTTTATTTTTTTAAGCGAGGTGTCTCTCGAACCTCGTCAGATTAATTTGTGTTATGATTCTAGAAAAGTTTTGTCAAGAGAGAGCTTTCATCTTTATATGGAATGCAGAAAAAGCTGCGAAAAGCTTGCCACGCATACTTCGCGGGCACTTTCTATGCGTTCGTACAACAGTTTTAATTACAAGTAGCAAAGCTTTCAACTATTCTTAAGGTCTTATTATCTCACCTAGGAGCAGTTTAAAGTTGCATTTGGTCAAATAGTTGCCTTGCACATACTTATAGAACTTCTTATTCAAGGTTGCTCCCGTAATGGGTAGCAAAAGTTAGATACTGCTGCTTGTGGCTTGAGGCAGAGAATTAATGAAGGATTAGTAAGTTTTATTTATTTATTTTAAAGTGGTAATGGTTTCTATACTAGACCACTCTCTTTTTACATACACACGACTCCTATTTTATTTATCAGACGCTATGCTAACAAACCTACATTTTGGGATCCATATTCTATGATTATTTTTTAATTTAATTTTGGTGTATTTTGCTTAACTAACTTGTAATTACAACGTAAAATTAAACAAAAATCTAAAGTAATCCAAACATTTTCAACTAACCAACAGGTAATTTTGTGCAACTCTCAAAAACCTAAAACATCAATACATACATATGTATATGTGAATAGCATGACTCATTAAACATAAAAACAAAAACATCCTGCAACAAATATTAATTCACTATTCTCTTCTACTTTTTGCTCTCCTCTCTCAACACCCACAGTAAGGCATGTTAACAAGAAGTCCAAACATCGCCAGTCTCTCTACTCCATCGAATTTGGCCCCAGCATTGATACGATTCGCAGCCGCGCTGACACCATACTCGACTACGACGATCACCTGCACGGCCGCGATGATGGCGGAGAGTTGTCGCCGAAGCCAATGACGCCGCGACGCGTCAAACGACGTTCGGTGATGGCGCGCGGCACCAACAGCCGCCAATCAACCACCAGCCGCCGCAGTCATCATGGCCGCGATCGCGGTGAAGGCGCCGGCGGCACGCATGGCAGCAGCAGCAGCGGTGGCGGCACACATCCACGTAACAGCACACGCAGTTCGCGCCGCAAATATCAACAGAACCCCGTCACTAAACTGCTCGATCAGCAACAACTGCAATTGCAGCAGCAGCAACAACAGCATCATCATCATAATCACCATAGCGGCGGCGGGCATCACGTGCAAGCCGCCAAGCAGCATTTGGGCTCTTTCCATCACAAAGAGATACCTGCACCGTTGACTGCGTCGAATTTGCAAACATTGAATCAGGAGATCATAAATAATACGAGTGTTGGCGGCAGCACAGTGGTGGCAAGCCCTGATAGTAGCGCTACAATGACCAACATTTTGATAGGCGGCGGCAGTCTCACAAAGACTAACAACAATCACTATCACAGCTTCCGTAAGAATATACCACCTGATCCGATTTACTATAACACCAATGCGCAAAC